CCCTACACCCTGTGGGTCAAGGTGTTCACCCTGCACCCTGTGGGTCAAGGTGTTCACCCTGCACCCTGTGGGTCAAGGTGTTCACCCTGCACCCTGTGAGTCAAGGTGTTCAGTCCCTGTATTACTAGTACTCACCAGGCCCCAGACTGTCAGATAGCGCAGCTTGTGCCAGGGATTGTAGTCTTCCCAGCTGCCAAAATACACGTACAAGAAGTCATAGATAGTTCCATAGAGCTGAATCAAGAACAGGGTTAAATGAACTAAAAACAATGTAGCTGACATCTTCTTCAGCTCTTCCTACAATCCTGGTGTGATATTTGAAGTCAGGCTGCCTGCAAGTGATTCTTGCTATGTTATAAACTGCAATACTATGTTATATTGATTTTAGTACTTCCTATAGTCAATTATGATGTACATATACTAGTAACTGTATGGATATCATAGATGCATCATTTCACATACAGTCGTGAGTCCCTTTCCTTCAGATATGGCAGTATAACCTTGCCCTTTAGCCTCAGTGCATCAGTACACACTCAATCTGTCTCTTGGACTCCCTCTGATTGTCACCAGCTAGCTTGCCTCCTTACTGACCAAAGTCCACTATCAGCACCTATATAATCTTGTGTTGTACAGTTTTATCAATGGCTCTGCCCACACCTGCTGGCACTGTGTGTGTACACATATACTAGCTGGCTTTGTGTGTATACATATACTAGCTGGCACTGTGTGTGTACACATATACTAGCTGGCTTTGTGTGTGTGTACATAGGCCTATATATAGTAACACATATATACTAGCTGTTGTATTGTCCACATGCAGTAAGCTGAGCTAATCCCCTCCTTCCTACTCATGGCCAATATCCAATCAACCTTAATTGATATACTGGCTGCTTACACAGTGTAGCTGTTAACTTTATGCATAGAACCATGTACTTGTGTCTCCATTCAACTGATTGGTTGGCTGACTCAGTTTGGATTGAATTGGATTGGCTAGAGGCAGTATTTATTATCAAAGAGAAATTTATTGTCTGCTTTCCTTAATTGGAACACACAAGGCATATGTATAGCTGTAGGGGGCTGTAGTCAATTTATACTAAAAACAAGTATTAAATACCTAGTATGTAAAAATAAATTAATTAAATCAGCAATATTATTGGCATGAATTCATGAATTCCTATTAAATAAAATAGAATTAATCTAGTGCAAATATATATGAAATTGAATTAAAATAAATAATGCATAAAAGTAGAAAGGAAAAATATATTCATATTCATATTATTGCATGCAAGAAGAAATGAAATAAAACTCAGTGCATGCTGCATGTATGTTTTGTTGCACAGTAATTTATACATGCATTTTTGTGACATATATGATTACATGTAGCACAGTATAAAAGGGAGAGCGTATAGTGTGAATATTTCTGTATTAATAAACGAAACAAAAGTTGCAGCAGCACATTTTCAAGAAAGAGCATATGTTTATTTAATTTTTATGCAGTTGTATCAACAATTCTCATGCATTAAGCAGTGTTGGACCATGCATACTTACCATCCCCCAGTGGGTAAGAAACGCTAATTTTGGCAGTGAGGACACTTTGATGTACATGACGTCGTACACTAACGCGTACAACTGAACTAAAAACAGCATTAAATGAATTAAGGCTACAATGACTGTCGACATCTTTAATTTGCAACCCCAGACACCTAATGCAACTATTTGAGAAACCCTGGCGGTCACGTGAATGGGATCACCTCCATGTAAATTGCACTGGGAAATCCTGATATTGGTCCGCGAAGAAAAAATAGATTTATCATAAGATAAACACACTCTTACCCATCATTATAGCCATAACGGTGTAAAGGTGATTAATTTATATACTGAAGCTGATAGTTTTATGTTACACGTAATCTTATCAGGTTTAAGGTATGTTTTATACAAGCGTATTTATTGTTCCCCCGCCATAAGTCTGCGCTGCGGCTGGGATCTCCGTCATGGCCTCGATATGGGGGCGAATTACGCGGTAGTCCATGACGTCATGGAGGATTGCTTTGTCAAAGAAGAAATTCCCCTGAACGGTACAGAAGAATTCCCCAGGATTACTCGACCAAAACACCGGCGTTTCCCCACAAAAGGTGTACCAATGTGAAGATAGGATATCCTTTGTGTTATAAACATTGTTATCAGATACAGATACAGCGATTTTTGTCGACTTTTCGAGGCAAAACAACACCCCTTGAGCGCGATGCCACGTCGAAAAGCCGTGTTTCCCCAGTCCAGCAAAAGTAAGTGAATATTCGCATAAAATATGTCTTCGTCATTCGACATTTTTATTGTCAGTATCCCTGTCATCTGTAGATATGCGAGGATATTTCTGATTAGATAGATGTTGTTCTTGGGAAGCGCATTGGCCGACATTCCAGTCGGTTTGGGTGGGTTGGCCTTTTGGGATTCTCCTCCGTGAGGGGATCCTCATTTGTATGCAGGGTTTTTCGCGCAAGGATTCCCTCACGCGCCCCTACTTCCTCTTCCACATTCTTAACCTGGGCTAATTTATTATTTTAAGAAGATTAGTTCAAAGGTGATAATTCCGACTTCATGTCGTATTATTACACCGCAGAAATAGAGAGAAAATAGGACGTATGTTTGGGGGATTCTCGAGATTTTGATGACAAATATGGCGAGCCCATGGAAGAGTCCATTATGCCGATCTGGATAGGGGTGATGGGTTGTTCAAATGAGGTCCTTCTCTAATCACGTCGATATTTAGTGCGATTGTTTGACGATGTCATCATTCGATAATGACAGTTTTATTAACATGGACATTTGTTCCAGTATAACATGGTTTGATCAACAGTGACATTGTTGTTTGGCGTGAGGAATGTTTTGACCTTCTAATGTGCACATTTCATAACACAGACGGGGGTCAAAGTCTGCGTGTTTACTTTAGTTCTCGCTTTAAATACGGAGCTCTAGGACAATATTATCACTTAATTCTGTTGCAGGATGTTTATTTAGGGAAATACCTCTTATGTCTCACACTGTGTGGTATCCATCTGAGCCATTTTCATATTATTTACAATTTACTAGTAAACAATCTCAAATGATTAACACTTTTGACAAGATTTGTCAAACCATTTGTGACAGTTTTATTATTGTGAGTAGTTTTGTCAACATCATTAGTATGATTTAGTTCATCAATTTATTTTAAAAACTAGAATTTGCTACAGAGGGGAATCACAGTTCAAGTATAGAGGTAGGAATCTACTCCTTCTAATGGACTCCTCGATCTTCAGTGTAGCTGTGGTTTTTCTAATCCAAAGGTTGTCATTCTTCACCACCACTAACAATGGAGTCAGCAGCTATATTTAGAATAAGATCAGTGACACAAAAACTCCCAGTTTATCGTGAAGAGAAGTGGTTTTACTTTTTGGGCATGTTTTACTCTTAGGGATCCTGGACTGCTCTTTTTTTTTCCTTTGTCTCATTGCAAATATATCTTTGAGTATTTAAAATATTTTAATTTTTAAAAAAACTTTTTGCAGTAATGATTACATGGAACATATTTCATTGTGTCTCAGTGAATTTTAAAAAAAATTATTTTGGGGGGAGGGGAGGCTGAATCTGCCATTTTGCCTAGGACGGGGATTCTTTTTTTGATGAAATCCAATGACTAAGCAGAAAATAAAACACCAGGTGCAATTTCAGCATTAACCTACATAAAGCTGACTTTAGCCTTCAATATTGGAGATGGAACATCTAACATCTCCCAGACTGCACACTCTGTGTGGTGTAATTGATTATCTCACAGGCAGACTGACTGGGTATAACATCATAGTACAGGTCAAAGAAGAGATATAAAGTTATGAGAGTGAATCAGAGGTAGAATTTCACTATTGATTTGTGACCATTCAGCTTTACTCTGCCATCAATATTAAAGCACTTGCTAGTAGTAGTACTAGTGCTCCTAGTTTTAGAAGAATAATATCTTTTTTTTAGCATATCATAATCCTGATTTCATAGAAAACTTACTTTTTAGAAACGTCCTTTTGTTAATTAAATTATTTCAAAATTTGGTAAAATTGTTTAGGTGTCCAAGTTAAAATCATATAAAGTGGATCTAAAAATAAACTGTTATCAAGTTCTGCAGGATGCTTTGAGCTTTAAAAGGATTGAATAATTTCTGTCATAGGTTCCCATCTTAATTTTAAGTTAAAATCAGCTTCAGCTTAACTGTGTTTAAAGGTCTCTTCTTGCATTTATCTCAATTGCTTTCAGTATCTCTTGCTGCAGAACTACTTTTGATGTATTTTTGTGATTGTGTTTTATCCAGTGTATAAGTATATATGTACTGTAAGGAGAATAGATTGTATCATATGTTCAGTAGAGTTAAGTCAGGTGTACCCTGGGCTGATTTACACCATCCAGAGAAATAAATGTGGAGATCATTCAGTTTGCAGTTGATTTCTGGAAATGTAAACTTCTACATCACTGTGTGATTTGAACACTGTAGTAAGCCCATTTGTATCTACTTGTTAAAATATATGCTATGTAGAACATCTGTCTACAGTTTGACTAAATGACTTGTTAACACTTTACTAGTAAATATTTTATGACTTGTTAAATCATCGTCGTCCCTGCGGGGGGACAGTCATAAAATCTCGGCTCTATTGGGACGACACATGGGGAGGTGTGTGAGAGGCGGAGAGACTATTAAAAGATTAGGCCGTTTTTCTTTCATGTACGTCCGCCATATTTAGTCCCCAGGATTTGTAAAGCCTGGCTCAACTCGTTGTGAATGCGATCTATGAAGTATATTACCACACTGATTAGAGCTGACCATCCATGCACAATGACACTGTTGTACTAGCTTGATTGATCCAACTGTGCAGGGACTTCAGCAGCACACTAACACCCCATTTCCAGAGATTAGATCGATCTAATTTAGATCGACCTCACTTCCTGGGGGTTCACGCTAAATAGCTGTCAGCCGGGCGGACACGAAAGTTAATTACCCCCTTACAGCTTGTAGTAGGCGGGATGGACATTTAAGCCGGATTATCTGACAGTAATCTAGTGAGACTTCCCGCGGGGATAGATCGTTCTAAAAGCTCTGGGAATACAGCCTAAAGTTAATCCCCCCCCCCCCCAGCTGCTTGTGGAGGTGTGTCATTCTGATTGCATTCAGTGAGAGTTCCCCACAGAGTTGGATCGATCTATCTAGTCTGATAGCTTCATTGTGAATGCATCCCTACACAGCAAATACAATGACATAACAGTGGAGCTTATTGCTGTGGTAGCAGAGATGAGCTTTTTCCGTGGAAATGCAGAATTTCGCATTTTTTAATTCATTTCTGATGATTCCTGAGATTTGTCAAGATCTGCAATAAAAGTTTTGGGGAGGAGAGACAAATGTTCAGAGTTTTTTTTTTTTTTTTTTTTTTTTTAACAAGGCTCATGTCTGATGGAAGCAGAGTTTACTCAACAGCCCTGATTCATGATGTAGAAATTATAGGGAAAATTATTAAAAAGGCACTAGACAGAGATGGGGCTTGCTTTGATCACGGTCGATTCATGCTGTGTAAGCACCGTCGTGATTACAATGCCTTGCTATAGAAAGCAGAAGCCGTTTTCCGAGTCTTGCAAAAGATGGCCAAAATTTTTTTAAGTTTACATTGATGGACATCTAATTTTCTCTATGGGAAGACTGTCAAAAATGGAGGATGGTGCATAATGGAGGATGTTTTGGAAAACTGTCAAAAAAATCTGTGTGGATTCACCCCTGAATAGTGTCCTGTTTACAATGATGTAACCATGTGTTTTAGCTGGCTGTCTGTTTAAAACTTTACCTAAACAGTTATTTATCCAATGACCAATGCATACATGTGTGAAAGCATTATTTTCCTCTCATCCAGGGTATTGTGAATTGATTTTCTAGCAGACTAACAGGAAGAGCTCCTTCTGGTTTGCACACTGCATGCAGGGAAAATCAATCGTACAGGAGTGAATTGTGCTAAATATTAAAAATGGCTTACGTATGATTACAATATTCAGTCTTTGCTGAAGGAGCTCGACTAGCGATGGAGATAGCTGTACCACTGGGGGGGGGGGGAACGCTGGAGGTACCTTGGGGTGCTTTCCCAGAGATTTAGATCGATCTAAAGATTAAGATTTAGATTGACCTAACTCCCTGGGGGTTCACGCTAAATTGCAGTCAGCCGAGCGGGTACCATAGTTAATTACCCCCTTACAGCTTTTAGTAGGCGGGATAGGCGCTTAAGCCGACCAAGCTGACAGTAATCTAGTGAGACTCCCCACAGGGATAGATTGATCTAAAAATCTATGGAAATGGGGTGTTGGATTTTACCTGGCACTTGCCCTGTCTTGTCCTGCCTCATCTGCCTGAAACAAAGCCTTCTCAGTGCTATTAGTTATACACTACAGGGGCCTATCATTCACTTCAGGGGCCCCCATATGATCACAACTTGATACGATCAGTTTTTGGGGTTGATCTTTGCATTTGTATGAAACTTTCAAAATTAACTCAAGTTAAAGTCAGTATAGTTACTACAGAAGTGGAAAAAGAAGTATTATGGGTAGAATTCAGATCTGACCTTTTGGTTTGACCTTTGATCCAGATTTCAAGGTCACGTATAGCTTTTTCATTAATATTTGCTAAAAATGATCTTGATTTGACTGCATTTCATAACTTTAAGAGAAGCATGTATTAATGAAATGGTAAATACAGTCATATTTAAG